CCACTATTTTATTCGGCGGCTGGAGGGGGCGTGGCCATCGCGAGCCTCTGGCTTGCACAGCGCGCCGCGCCCGTGCGCGCGCCGGCCACCTGCCCCCCTCTGGCTGCCCCCCCACCCCCGTGTGTGTGTGTGCTGCCGCTCCTAGCTGTACCAACTGCATCCCTTCAGTGAAGAGCAACATCGGTCCCGCCGCATGTTGCTTGCGTTGTTGTACATCAAAACCCTTTTGCCGGGTGTACCCCTTTTCGCAGCAAACCAGTAAAGTACCTGCCTCCCACCCACCCCACCTTTGAGCACTGATCAGTTGCCCCCATCGGTGTGCAGCAGTGTAAACCATTAAGCAATTGCAGCCGGCAGGTGCCAAGGACAGTGTGGGGATGCGGAGAGACTCTGGCGCCAAAGGTGCCGGCGCCGCCAGCGTGGCGGCGGTGAATTGCTCCACTTGCGTGCGCCTCTCCTCGCTTTCCATGTTTCAGCCTCTCCATTAATTCTGGCAGCCGGAGATGGAGGGCACTCCGATCCCACTGGCGCTGCCGGTCAAGCGGACACCCACCACGACGCGGGAAGGCATTGCGTATGAGGTGCGGGCCTTGCTGGTGGCCAATTGGGCTTCAGGGGAGCGCGAGAAACGGCCCTCCAAGGTCCCCAACGCGAGTCACGAAACTGGCGGTCTCTGCTTGCGCAGGTGTTGCCCGCTGATGTGGCACCTCCCCCGATTCGTCTGGCTCATCAGGCACGCTCTCTCCCGCGATCCCTCCCTTTCCTTCGCCTTTCAGAGTCTCTAAGGCTTCTATTTCTCCCCTCCCGCACCCCGCAGCTGCCGCAAATTTAAAATTATGAACCAACCTGTCATCCTTTATGCCTTAGAACGGCGCCAAAACGGCGCCAAGAATGTGTTTCTCACTAAGTCAGATGTAGAGGGCATCATCCGGATCAAGCAGGGCGACCAGCAGGCGCCCTCAGGCCGGCGGCGGCGGGGTGCGGGAGGGGGGGCGGCAGTGCAGGGCGGCGCCAAGAACTACAGCAAGAAGGTGCTGCAGTTCTTCCAGGTGCTGAAGGGCGCTGGCGGTCAGGACATCCTGTGCCGCTGCGTCAAGCGCAGCGGAGAGTGGCGGTGGTGCCCCGTGGTGCCGCTCGAGGAGCTGCCCCGAGTGATCAAGGAGCACCACGAGCGGGCGACTGGCTTCAGCGGTGTGGAGAAGCTGTACACACATGTGAGTGATACAAGGGGTGCAATGATGCCGCCAGACCAACTGGAGAGTGCTCTGCATCAGGCAGCAACCGGATGCATCGCAGCAAGCACGGGGGGTGCGGCACGGCCAAGGTGGCGCTGCCCTCCTCTCCATCTATCCCTCCTTCCCTCCCTCACGCCGCGCACTCCCCTGGTCCTCCTTTGCTGCTCTGCTGCCTTTCCTGCAGCTGGCCTACAACGCACCCACCGAGCTGGCAGCTGGTGCTGACGGCAAGGTG